CCGGCCATCTTCTTCCCTTACCTGTTCCCCACCGGCCTTGGTCCCATATATCCCTGGACTTCGTCTCTGGCTTACCGGTTTCCAGTGGACACACCACCATCCTGACTGTAGTCGATCATTTTAGTAAAATGGCCCATTTCATTCCGCTGGCCAAACTCCCTTCTGCCAAGGAGACAGCTGAACTCATGTTGCAGCATGTTTTTCGGCTACACGGACTCCCCACTGACATAGTCACAGATCGGGGTCCACAGTTCACCTCCATCTTCTGGCGTGAGTTCTGTTTACTCCTAGGAGCCACTGTTATCCTTTCATCAGGCTACCATCCTCAGTCCAACGGTCAGACTGAGAGAATCAACCAGCAGATGGAGACAGTGCTGCGGTGTATGGCCTCCAGGAATCCGTCCTCCTGGTCCCAGCAGCTACTCTGGGTCGAGTACTCCCACAACACGCTGAAAAGCTCTGCCACTGGTTTTTCCCCATTTCAGTGTGCTTATGGGTACCAGCCACCCTTGTTTCAATCCCAGGAGAAAGAGGCGTCATGTCCTTCTGTTCAAGCCTTTATCAAGCGCTGCTACAGAACCTGGAGACAGGCTCGGACTGCCCTTCTTCACACAGCACAGCGCTATTCTGCTGCAGCTAACCGCCGGCGATCAAAGGCTCCTGCTTACCAGAGTGGTCACATGGTTTGGCTCTCCACCAAGGATCTTCCTCTCCGGGTTGATTCAAAGAAGCTGGCACCAAGATTCATTGGCCCCTTTGAAATAGAGAAGATGGTCAACCTTGTGGCTGCACGTCTCAAGTTACCCAGAGCCATGCGAATAAATCCGACATTTCATGTCTCTAAGTTGAAGCCAGTCTGTGAGAGCCCTCTTGCTCCTGTTTTGCCGCCACCACCTCCGACACGCCTGATTGATGGGGAACCTGCATATACAGTGCGTCGCCTCCTGCGCTCCAGACGTCGTGGTCGAGGTCTTCAATACCTGGTCGACTGGGAAGGCTATGGGCCAGAAGAGCGTTCATGGGTGCCTGCCAGCTTTATCTTGGACCCTCTTCTCATTAAGACTTTCCATGAGAAACATCCTGATCAACCTTCAAAGAGCTCTTAAAGCTCTCATGCAATTTTTTTCTGCTACCCTAGGTGATCCATCTGGGTACTCTGACCTTTCAGAGGACTTCTGACCCTCCTCCAGGCCCCCTCCTAACCCTCTCGTGGTCGGTCTTTCGGTTTTGGGACGTCAGGAGCCGTCCCTTGAGAGGGGGGTTCTGTCACAGTTCTGCCTTTTTGTTTACTTTTTTTTTCCCCATTCCAGTTCCATTTCTGAGTCTGTTCCGGTCCTCCTTTTGCCACCTCCCTCCTTTCCCTACAGCTGCCCCTCATTCTGTAATCAGCCCAGGCCCAGTCTATATATACTCCCTCTTCTCCCTCAGTCTTTGCCAGATTGTCAACCTGTAAAGACAGACACTCAAGCTCCTGAAAACCTGAAACCTGTAATCCCTGTATTCCCTGAATCTGTTCTGTTTGTGACTTCTCCAATTCTGTGTTTCCCTGTTTGTTGTCCCTGTTCCTGAGTTTACTCCCAGTCTGTTTTTTTACTATTGTATTCCCAGTCTTGGAAGATATTTTCGTTCACATTTAAGATCATATATTCCTCTGTTATATTTTCAGTCTGAGTTGTCATTATTAACATTTCCTGTTATAGGACACTTTCAGTTATTTGAATAAGACTTTGTTTGCCTGAGTACTTGTGTTGCATTTGAGTCCAATTTGCCGGCGTGACAATGTGATGATTCATGCAATACAAGGTTAATTTTATTTCAAACATTATTCTATGAACACAGACATTCACATCAACAGTATGGTGTAATAATAGATTTAATTTTTTGGGTGTTTTGTGGAGTGGGTAAGACTGTTTTTAGTGGCAGGCTAACTATGGCCATTGACATGTACTAGCCCAGCACCAGCAACCTCTGCAAATACAGGGACTGGATGGAATATTTTAAAAAGTGTCTCCACACATCTCCAACACTCTGGCTAACTAGGAAATGAGGTCCTATGTCCAAAATTCCCTTTAAAGCTCACAAGAGTCAGTTTAGGGTAGTATAGGACTTTAACAACAAAGGCTGCGTTCAGACTGCAGCCTGAAGTGACCCAAATCCGATTTTTTTTTGGCTTCTATGTGACCTGTATCCGATCTTTTAATGACAGTCTGAACGGCACAGATCCGAATTTTTCAAATGCGACCCAGGCCACTTGTGGTCCTGAATCCGATACATATCCGATCTTTTCACATGCGACTTCAGTCTGAACGGCCAAAGCGCATCCATCCGACCTACACGTCATTAACAAGCGACAAACGTCACTATTCTGCGCTGAAGCAGGCGGAAACCGGAACTGTAAAATCGCCAGGTGCTCAATGCTCGCGACCATATTTGGACAACTTCCGTAAACACAGAGCACGCTGCGGTTGACGCATGGGGTTGACGTCATCGTGTCCTCCAGTGCGCATGCGGGACACTTTCGGGCCATTTACCGTTCACACTGAAGTCACAAACAAGTCGCATTTAATTGGAAATGTGAACGACCTCGCAAAAACATCGGATTTCACAAAAAAATCGGAATTGAGCATTAAGCCCTGCAGTCTGAACGTAGCCCAAGAAACAAACAAAAGGTGCAAAGCTGGCATTGATGATCTCTCCTAAATACTGTATCCAGGTAAATGTGACGTCATGGTAAATTTATGCAGACCTGTTGTTCAGCATTTAATCATGCTGGGAAAAAGACGTCAAGCTGAAAATATGCCTGTCTGTCATATTTATATGTGTATGAAGAGATTGGTTGAAGCAAATTGGTGAACAAAAAGGGATATTTCATTGACAGGGATATTTCCACAGAGCAGCAGTTAATGTGTCATAACAGGATCCTTGGTCTAGTCTAGTTAATGTCATAATTACAGACATTCTCTCAGATGTCTGCAGCTTTAAAGGGTATGGTGTGCGTTATACAATACCAGTCGATTCCTTTATGGGCAAAAGTGCACACAAGTCTAGCAATACTTTCGGTATTGACACAAAAGTATGCAATTGTTTAAAAGGCAGGTTTCTCAGTTTGGTTTATAGCCAAGGCTTTTTCAATTCTGATGCAACTCAGTACTTGGATGTGATTCCAGGTGCCACAGTGGGCAGCCAGTGGCAAAAACTGTTGTTGTGTCCTCAGGCAAGACACTTCACCCACATTGCCTAGTATGAAAGTGGTGTGTGTGTGTGTGTGTGAGTGATGGTGGTGGTCAGAGCGGCTGATATTGCTGATTGGCAGCCTTGCTTCCATCAGTCTGTCCCAGGGCAGCTGTGGCTACAGTAGTAGTTTACCACCACTGAGTGTTGAGTGAATGAATAATGAACTGTAAATCACTTTGGATATATTGAAAGGTGCTATATAAATGCAATGGTTAATTAATTAAAAAACTCTTAATATAACAAATTTTTCTTCTTTGCCTGTATTTTAATTTATGGGCTACCAAAATAGATCAAATAAATATATTTAATTGACATTTTACTTAATGTGTTTACTTAATAATAAACATTCCCATATTTCACACTGTACAGTTTCTGCTTCTTACCTCAGCTCTGGGACTGGTGGTTGGGGAAAGATATTGATGGTGCAATTAAATTTTTAAAATCTGGGCCCTTTTTGGCCTTAGCCAGAACAGACTAACAGGAGTAGACGGGGATATTTTTCATTGTACCTAAAATGAGAGAAAACCTGGTGGTATTTTTAACTAAAGGAATGGATAGTGCTTTGAAAGAATGCACGGCATTTTATTAGTCAAAGATTTGTCTCATCATAAAACACGTCAGATATGAGCAGCCAGCAGTAAAGATCCAGATCTTGGTGAATGCTGTTTTTTTTTTTTTTCTTAATGCTCTGAATCTTTCAGACCAAACAAACATTATGGCTCTCCTGCAAGACCTCCAATCACCACACCCTGAGCATCAATCCACCGTTCTCTGGGGGCAGTGGCAGTAATGTGAACAGGGAGAGGGATGGAGAGAGAAAGAAAGGGAGAAAGAGAGAGAGCGAGGGATGGAGAGAGAGAGGGACAGAGAGAAAGGGGACAGTTAGAGAGAGAGAGGAACAGAGAGAAAAGGAGAGAGAGGGGAGAGTGAGAGGGACAGAGAGAGATGGATGGAGATAGAAGGAGAGAGGGGAGAGTTGGGGGGGATGAGTGAGAAAGAGAGAGAAAGGGCTGAGCAAGAAGGAGAGAGAGAGGAGAGTGAAAGAGAGAGAGAGATGGAGAGAAAGAAGGATGTAAGAGAAGGTTAGAGTGAAAGAGAGAGAGGGACGGAGAAAGATGGATAGAGAAAAGCAAGAAAGAGAAATGGAGCGAGACGGCAGAGTGTGTGTGGGAGGGGTGGAGAGAGAAGGAGAGAGAGGGGGGAGAGTGAGAGAGAGAGAGAAGGAGAGATGGGGGAAGAAAGAGAGAGAAGAGGAGACAGGGAGAGAGAGAAAGAGAGAAAGGAGCAGATGTAATTAATCTCACCCTCGTCCCAAATCTCCATGGAGACGAGTCCATGTGCCAGCTACACCTTTAGTCCGTACGCACAGACAGGGACAGACGTCTGGACAAGATCTGAGCGTGTGAGGCAGCTGTTGCTATGAATAGAACATTGACATTTCACATTATAGGTTTGTAATAGTTATGTCACACAATTGTTGCTGAACCTCTATGTACAGACTGGATACAAATGTAATAAAAATAATACTGATGACATCCTAGCACTAAATAAAACTGGATTGTCATTCATTTAGATTGGCACTATGTATGGGATTTGTATATTTAAACTGACAATTATTTTGCTACTATTTACACCTCGAGAAACAATTCTGCTTGTTATGGCATTTCATCATTTTGTCCATCAAGATTGTAAGATTGCTTGGCACCATAACTAAGCAAAATGTGTAGGCCTAACTGGTAAATAAATACAACATACAAAAAACAGACTTAAAACACAAGTAGATTTTATTTGTTTCTGCATAGGATCCCACACGGTTCACAAATCCATAGAGCAGAAACCTGACACCACTGTGCTTGTCCATATACCATCTATACACCAGGGGGGAAACAGGAAATGAGAGGGTTGCTTATCAAAATAATCATCTGTCATTCAGGGTTAAGGGCAATGGGCCATAAGCATGTTAGTACAATAAAAAAAGGAAAGAGACATTACATTGTGCTACATAGCTGTGCTCACTAATATTACCAACCCCACAGGTCAGCATTGAAATAAACTAAACATGTACTTAAACATAAGGCCACTATGGTAAACGTTACGATATCATAGGGTTGTACAATATATCACATTTTTGTTGTTGTTGCAAAATATACAAATGCATCAGGCAAATTAAAGGGTGCAATCACTTATCCTGGTTTGGTCCTGCTTTGAGCCAAGTTTAGTCCTCATGTTGAATTAGAAGGCTCCTGTTTTAGTCCTGATTCAGTCCTGGTCTTGGTAGATTTCAGATTCTAGAACGAGAGGATGTCATACTCCCAAGTGCTAGATTTACTTTTTGATTACTCTGTACTTTCATGACAAATACCTAAAACGTAAATTAAAAATGCTGAACCTGATCATTCCAATTAGTGACACTGTATTACCACAAAAATCTGCAATTTAATAATAATACTTTTGGCTTCCCCCCTTATTATGTATTAAATATGTTTGACCTATAAAATGTTGTGAAGTCATTTGAAACCCACCAGTTCAAGTTTGGTCCTACTTTTAATGTGGTGAATAAAGCCTTGTTTTGGCCCATGTTTTGATATGATATGAAGACACATCCAATTGAACCTATTATATAAAAAGTACACAATAAAATAGCATTATTGTAATATTTTTGACAATTTTGCAGCCCTAATATTTCAACTATTATTTATATACGTAAAATAAACCCTTTTATTTTCTCCAGCCTCCACAGGAACAGATCTAATCACATGACTTTACACAACTTCATTACTCGACATGAGGCACATGTGACTGTGCAGTGTTACTAAAGGTCATCAAAATGTACAAAAGAAGTGGTCCAAACTCCAACTCAACAGACAGTAACAGACAATACTGCTCTAAGCGCTCATATATCTTCCTCTTGTTTTCATTATTATACAAGTATTAAAAACAATTATTTTTGGGTGCTTCCTCTTGACCCATCTTTGACAGTTAAAACCTATTCACAGTAATAATGGCAGTACAAATCTATAATAACAAAGATACCATGATTTTATAAAAGGCATTGAGAAAAAAATAAGGCAGTAATGGAAATGTCAACAAAAACAAAAATGTCAAAAAAAAAAAAAAGTCAGGTCGTCACTTCTTTAAGAGATAAATTTCAAGACATTGCGACATTGGTTAGACACTGAGACATTAATCATGTACATACAATGGTAAATCATGCAACACATGCCAAATGATGTATAACATATAGTTGTATACATAGAAATCTGCTATATAAATGATTGCCTTTTATCATCTCGAGACAAGTCCTGACTGACATGCGCCTACAACAAACTCATAGAACCCGGGTTACGGAGCACTTTAAGACAGTCTTCACCTGGACACGATCAGGTCAGAGTGGTCATCTCAGACTGGGAGTAGTTACTGCCTGCTCCAAGGATGTCCTTACAGCTATCTATGGAAACAAACATGGACAAAAACATAATATCAGGTAAGCAGAAAAGAAATACTGTTTTCTTAGTATCCACGTACAGTACACACATCATCAAAACTGGGACTAAATCTGAACTAGGACAGGACCAATCCAAGTCTACATCAGGGTCAAACCAGGAAGTGGGTAATCAGCCATAAATGCAGTTTTAATAACCTGTCAAACTGTGAATTTCAACTGTATTTAAGAAACAAGGTACAGCAAAAAAATAACGAACAATAAAGGTACTCTCAAATCTGAAGAATATTTGCAGTATACCAAGCTATAGCGAATTTGGTAAGTGAAAAAGTGAATTAAAAGTACAGCATCTATTGGTATTCTTATTGTTATTACAGTAAAGTGCTATATATTGTACAGTTAGGCTATAAAGTTTCATAGGCCTTTCATCACACAAGTGTATTAAACTAATGTATCCACAAGTTAAGTTTCGTTCCTTGAAGATATAACTGCTGCACGTAGTTCTAGTTAGTCCACAATCACTCTCTACTCTCTATTAAACTTGTGTTGTCCATTCATGTTGTTAATGGGGACTTCCTAAAAGCATCAGTCCAAACCTCTCCCAGGAGGATGCACTACTGGATAATAATTCCACTACACTTCCTCTTCAACACAATATGCCCATGTCATAAAGAAATATGGCCTCTCACATGTCTATAGGAGACTAAATAAATGCCTCTTACAGTTCTGGTTCACAGTGTCGTAGACCTGTGGGTTTTAGACCAATCAGCACTTTACATCCTGTTACTCTCTACTCTCCAGTTCTACCTTCATTGATCACCAACAAAGGACCTTCTGACTTCATCCTGTTTAAATACTAATATTAGGGACATGTTTTATTTATAACACTATTTTTTCTTTACTTGAAGGGGCCTGTAGCTCTTCAGGTCAAAATAAGTTAGCTGCATGCATTGCTTGAAACAAACAAATGAACTAATTTTGTTCTTCGTGTTTTACACAATAAAAATGGGGAGCATAAACCAGTCTCATAAGGAGTTTTTGCACTGTAGGAACCTTTTTCATCTCCAACCATGTAAATGTAATTGGATCATTCTCAAATGCATTTAAAGTGATTCATGTAAAAACAATTTCAAACTTGTGACCACTATAAAGTTGAATCTGCCTCTTTGCATATAAAGCCACTCAGGATTACCCTTATAATATATCATTTTGTGATTTCATGTGCTAAACATTAATTTAAACATGAAATGGTTGCACAAATCGCTTTATGAATTCTGCACTAAAAACAATCTTGGTTTGGAGCCATGTTGTGTTTGAAGACAGCGCGTGTCAAAGGGTGTAATGCATGTGTGATATTTGCCTGTAATAGACTGGGATCTTATTATCAACATACTCCACCAGGCGCAGACCTGTGATTCAATTAGCTGGTCCTGTCTGTCACACAAAGATTGGTTTTGAGGTGCTCTGGCTTGGCTCATCTCTGTGTCTCTTTTCAGATAAGCTCTCTGTTGACTGTAAACCAAATATGAGCTGGACAAAACAATAAGGCAGCTTCATGTTCCTGGGTTGGTCCATGTCAATAAATGAAAACATTGGTAATGTAAATGTGTTTTTATGCCTATCAAGATTTATTTGTTATCTTAATAATATTTAAAGGTCCTATATTGCATAAAATTGATTCCTGTGAGCTTTAAACAAAGTTATAATGCTATTATCTCCCCCAAAACATACCTGGAGTTGTTAGATTCACACATGTTTGAATAATCTTTTATTATTAGTCTGTCTACATCTCCACCTTGTGATGTCATGAAGCTGTAGTTTTCAAGTTAACAGTTTTTCAACATCTCTGCTGAAGCTTCAGTTCAGTAGAGATGCTCTGACTAGTAACTTGGCCGGGAGGCACCACCTGCTTACAGTACAGTGGAACATTCCGTGAAGACAAGTGTAGACTCTTTTCCATAAAAGTTCAACTGAAACTGTGCACCTTCAAAATCAAAATCAAACTCAGAAATAAAAAAAAAAATAATAATAAAAAATCCGGTTTAGTTTTATATAGTTTTACACTATAAGCAAAAAAGTATGTAACAAATAAAACTGATCTTATAGTTACTAAAAATAGGATTATTTATAAGAATACTATTAAAAGAACTAATATCTAAAGCTATTATATTTACATCAGCAGCTTGTCCCATAAACCCATAAAATGGTTCTTCATGTATGTCCAGGACGAAGCATCGTCCTGGACATACATGAAGAACCATTTGTACATCTGTAAGTCCAAACATGCCCCATTACCCCTCTTCGATCCATAACAATAAACACATTCAGGATTGGCAGGGCTTTTAGGATGAACACGTCCAAATACAATTTCCCCGTAATGGCTTCACCCTCACAGCAACAGAAGTGCTCCATTTATGTACTGTTTTTCTTTGACACTGATGAACTAATGAGCTTTGTCCACATCTCTGCTTCTATTTGAGAGGAGGAGCAGGGAATGGGCTGTTGGACATGGAGAGTGGACCCAGATATAGACCCAGCATTTTTCATGTGGTGAAGGCAGAGGCCATCAGCTTATGGGACTGACCATTTTATCTAATCATGTACCAAATGCACCATCAACCTATAACTACACTAATGAGTAATGCTGTAACTGCCTATCGCAGGATCTTGGCAGATAAGGTCAATGTGCGTGCGGTGGGGTTGACAGGGAAGCTAAAGCATCCCATAAAAGTCTACTTACTGAAGCACATTGTATTAAAGGTGCACTGCGTGATTTTTTGATGGAGAGTTTGCTACTTGCTCCTCTTTTTTGAAAAAATATAGCTTTTCTGCAATGTTCTACAGTATAATATAAAATGTATTTATCTTCATGAAGACAAGCTGGTAATGCCACCTGGTCCAATTATGGGTTAGATCTGTGGAGAGGTGACCCTGCAGGATTTTGAGTGATAAAAACATCTGTAATTGAACACACATTATTGGTCATTTAATGTTATATACATGTAGTCTGATTCATCAGCCGGTTTCATTTCGTAGAAACCGTCTCACCTCGCAGTGTTAGAATTTGTTCACTCAGCGGTAGGCGAGTACTTTTTTTTCATTCAACCAATCGCTGCTATTTGATCATGACGTATGTAATGCGCTGCTAACGGGGCTAACTGGTATATTAAGCTTTTCCCAAATCCCGTAGGAAGAAGGGCAATAACGTCTTTCCCCTTGATAAAATTCACCAAACATTCTCTTAGTTTTGGCTTTAAATCCTCGATCTCGAGAATCATTGCCAACACAGAATATATGGCTCTTTGCTGATTGGCTGGTGCCCGAACTTGCACTCCCAGAGTTTTTGCCAACTGTCTAGTGTATTCCAATTCCTGACCAAGTGGCTGGAGAGAAATGAAATTGAGCGGAGGCACTAGGTGGCGCCAGCCTGTTTTAATATACATGTACCTTCCAGGCAAATACTATCTCTCTATACAGACAAGCAGGATGCGGTCCCCTGGCCAGTAATGTTACATAGCGCTCCTTTCTAGTGTAAAATTAGGTGTTTATTATACATATGTTTTCCAGGGATAGGTGGGTGCAGCAAAATATAGACACATGCCTACAGAAAGGTCTACACCATAAGTAAGTAATTTACCTGAGCTGGCTACAGTCACAATCTGGCTAAACACATCATTAGTTAGTAGAACTGAGAGAGTTTGTAGACGAAGAAATTGAATAGAGAATAGAATTTGTACTGTTGTTTTCCACATAGTTAATTGCTTCTCAATCACTGTAGGATACAAATTATGGCATTTAATTTATTTTAGATATCTTGACAAGTGTTCTATGCCCCTTCCTAATGTAAATATATGCTAATTCCGCACATCTTCCTGGTGCAGTAGTGTCTTACCCGAGCGCACACTGGAGTTTTCAGAGGTGAGCAGAAAGCAGGTCCCTTCCAGTTTGTTTTTGTCCCTGGTCCTTGTGCAACGCAGGGACCACTTCTCATTCGGGGACAGGGGCTGGGTCAGGCTGCACCCCTCCTCCTCTGAAAGGGCCACGTTCGCGTCGCCATTCTGTTTGGAGTCTGGGGAAAAGATTAAGCACACAGGGACTAAAATGTCAAAGCTTTTACTGTCCCCTGAGGGCCCAGACAAAATCATATAGGTAAAGTCCACCAAACGTGCTCTTTTCATGCGGCGATATTTAATTTGATGGAGACGTTATGGGGAATAATTGAATCGTGGCGTATTGCTGTTCAAATGACTAAGAATGAGTCATTTGTAAGGCCTACACACAGCACGTCTGTCACTGTCACACTCAAAGGCACTCAAATAAAATATGATTAACGCCAAATAAAAGACAATTGTGTTAATTGGTGATGGATTTCCTAGTACTATTTTCCCTCTTAGATTTTTTATAAAAAAAAAAATAAATAAAAAAACGATTGAATTTCTTAAAAATAATGTTACTGGACTTAAACGTGTATTTTTGTCAATTTGTGTCTTGCTAGTCAACATATATCATATAATACAAATTTGTACTAAATGAAAAGAAAGATGCTGAGGTGGTTTTAATGACTTTTTAAATCAAAACTATAGACAGAGAAATCCATACAACTAAAGATATGGAGTGCTGTTTTTATTATTGCTGTTTTTTTATGGAAGATAAAAAATACATAATGTTTATAGCAGATCTTTAATCCTGTTGGACCCAAAGACTGATAATTCAAATTGCTTTTAACTTACAATTCTATAATTATAAAACATTTACTTATTTTTACATTCATGGATATTGGTGTCATTTTGGGTACTATATTTTGTTTGGAAGTACACAGCAACTGTGCTCATTTTTCATCAAGCCCATCAACAATAAACTTTATTAAGTTATAGATGTTGAATTTACACAGCTCATGTAGGTATATAAAAATCATACCATGGTCAGAGAGAATTCTGATGTCAAGCCCTAATCATTTAGGGTGTGGAAAATCTAACAATGTTGCCATAGCAGTTAACAATTCAAAACAAAATATTATATCTTTTGATTGGGCAAATGTACTGAAACATCACCAAACAGAAGCCTTACACAGTTTTTCAATGTCTCTCACCTGAGCGGGTGCGGCTGCTCTCGTCTGCTGCCAGTGGACATGTGTCGCTCTGGGTGCTGTCTCTGTGAGAGTTTGTGTCCGATTTCCCAAAGGACGCAGAGTCCGTTGGGGCATCTGGGTTAGGATTGTGCTTTTTCTTCTTCTTGGGCAGCTTCTGTTTGGCCATTGCCAGTGAGTAGTACATTCCAAAGTTGTTGACGATGACTGGGACAGGCATAGCAATGGTGAGGACGCCCGCCAGAGCACACAGAGCCCCCACAATCATGCCCAGCCATGTCTCCGGGTACATGTCTCCATACCCTAGGGTCGTCATGGTAACCACGGCCCACCAGAAGCTGATGGGGATGTTTTTAAAGTGCGTGTGGGAGGATCCGGTGGGGTCACTTGGATGTGCGCCTATACGTTCTGCGTAATAGATCATAGTAGCAAAAATGAGCACGCCAAGAGCCAAAAATATGATGAGGAGCAGAAACTCATTGACACTGGCTCTGAGCGTATGTCCAAGCACACGTAGCCCAACAAAGTGCCGTGTCAGTTTGAATATCCGCAAAATACGAACAAATCTGACAACTCTGAGAAACCCCAAAATGTCACTCGCTGCCTTGGAGGACAGCCCCGAGAGTACCATTTCGAGGTAAAACGGCAAAATGGCCACAAAGTCGATGATGTTGAGGGTGTTTTTGACAAAGAGCAGTTTGTTGGGGCAGCAGATGATTCGAACGAGGAACTCAAAGGTGAACCACACAACACACACGCCCTCCACCACAGTCAGGGCGGGGTTGGTGATGACCTCGTGGCGTGGCACCTCCACAGTCACATTGTCCCGTGTCACCGGCTCCATGATGGTCTTGATTTCTAAGAAGGCTTCATGGGTCTCCAGGCAGAAGGTTGTGATGGAAACCAGGATGAAGAAGAGCGAGGTCAAGGCAACTACCTGCAGAGGACACACAGAGACAATCAGAAAAAGCTCAAGAACAGATGAAAACAAATAAACAAGCCAATAAACAATTCCTTTTTGATTGGAGAAATACTACGATTTAGTGAAAGATGTATCTGCTTGTTTATTATTTATTTATTGTTATTGTATTATTATTGCTTTGCTTGGAATATTACACAGCTTGGTATTAAAAGTTGTATTCAGATGCAGATTTTTTTTATTACTAAAATATAGACCTATCTTGAAAACGTACTGTTAAAGGGCCCATATTACACTATTATCTGGTCTATATTATAATGTTTCCAAAAACATACATGGAGTTGTGTTTTGTTTCATTCACACATGTTTAACACGCATATTTAGGTTTCTGCTGTCTCTCTCTCTCTCAGAAAACCAAGTTTGAGCAGATGTCTTATTAACCATGTACACGTTTAATGTTACTTAAATACAAAAAACACAAGTTTAGTTTTAGGGAATAAATGTTTGTATTAGTTTTCAGTTCTGTTATACACCAAAAAGGCCTGAAGAGAAATTAAATAGCTAAGCATTAAACATCCATTTAAACATCCACAAAGTTGATTCAATAACCATTTTTGGCCCCCCTGATTAAAATCCCATTCAAATTCTAAGAAATGCATTCTCACATCTCTTCATTGTAACTGAGTCTCAAGCAAAAATACCCAGAGGCTTATTGAAACCTTTAGATGAAAATAGAAGGGAGAGACACCAAAGAGTCATGTAATAGGCCAGCGCAGTCGTTTTAAATGCTAGCGTTTACTTGGGTTAACTGTCACCATTTGCCTCCTGACTTGACAGATAATTAAATGCTTTTATGTGCAATTGGAGGAGAAGTGATTGAAGTTGTCGCATTTTTTTCTTTTTTCCTCCATTTTAAAAGCTTTAGGTTCACAGGAGAGCCATAACAATGTTCTGGGAGAAAACAGAGCAATTTAAAACCAATTACACCCATGAACAGCCTTCCTGAATCACGCTGAGAAAAAACATGTCACCATAAAGGCGAAAAGAAAACATTCATGCCCAGCAGGGGGCACCCATAAAGGTACAACAATTTATACATAATCATCAGTGTATGCTCAACAAAGCAGGCACTAAAGCTTGCTTAAGTGGGATATTTTTTAAGTATGAAGTAAAGTTCACAAAAAATGCTATGTTGTCAATAAATAATGTAGCCTACATAACAATAATTAATACAGCTTTAAAGGGCCCTTATTAAGGTATTTCCTGATCTGTTATGATGCTGTTTCATACCTGGAGGTGTGTTTTGTTTCATCCACACATGTACACACACACACATACACACAAACAAACCCTGTGTATTTATACTGAGCTAAAAACGTGTGAATGAAACAACTCCAGGTATGTTTTTGAGGAGGTAATATTATAACATTATTAATATAAGACCTTTAAATAGAATTACATATTACATTACATTTGTTTCAACTTCCTGTTATATGCAACATTGGAGTTTTCCCCATTTAAAAGATACTAAATATTATTATATTAAGCCAACAGTGTAAATTTTTCATCATTCTGAGACCCATGAATAGCAAGCTCTAATCATAAATGATGAAAATGTAAACAAAAATGCTTAACATCATAGGCTTTAAGCCCAATATCTATGTAGCGCTCATTGTAAAAATTAACGTGTAGTGTGTAAACAAAGTTGGACTGAGCTGTCAGCTTTTAAACACGTGTCAGAACCTAACAGTGCATGAACTGTACATGGAGTGCTAATCATGCATGCTATTGTTTACTGAGGTCTAATTGTTATGCTTTTGTAATGTCCCAGCTGGTTAAACATGTGCCTGTGTTCTCCTGCACTCGCATATCACTCACTAGGGGATTACGGTAAAAAGTAATGACATCAAATAACGTGGGGATGAAAAATAATAATATCTAGAGGTTCTTAGGTCTTTGCCCTTTACTAGCATATTCAAAACAAGTGTACGTGTAAATATATGTTCTTATTGTTGATCTCAGCAGACAGTTTCCATGCAACTGTTGAGGAGTTGAGTCACATCAGGGAGTAGAGGCTCACTACACAGGACCCCATAGACTCATCCAGGGACACCCTCCCAAGAGAGTTCCAACTTCACAAGTCAGCTATATATTACATGACACGGACAGTTGTATGATCTCAAAATATTGGCATCTGTGATCAGTGGCTGTCAAAATGATAAAACTGTTAAACCATAAAGTATCTATGTCATTAATGTATCTATCATGTATCTTGCTTTTTGCCTCTTTTATGAGGGTCTGCTAGCCATGCTGGCGCCACCTAGTGCCTCTGCTCAATTTAATTTCTCTCCAGCCACTAGGTCAGGAATCGGAATACACTAGATGGTTCGTGAAAATGCCAGAAGGGCAAGTTCGGGCACCAGACAATCAGCAAAGAGCCATACATTCTGTGTTGGCAATGATTCCTGAGATCAAGGATTTAAAGCTGGAACAAAGAGAATGTTTGGTGAATTTTATCAAGGGGAAAGACGTTATTGCCCTTCTTTCTACGGGATTTGGGAAAAGCTCAATATACCAGTGTTACGGCCCCAGGCCTTAGTTCTAATATTTCTGCAGAGTTCTCTTGATTCCTGCTGCACGAGCCCTAGTCTGTGATTGGTGGGGCAAGTCCACGCCCACTTCACCTGCAGCCACCTCCCCCTATTTAAGGAGATTGCCAGCACCTGTTTGGGGCTGCTGGCCTTGGTGGCCAGTATGCCATTTTGTTTCGTGTGTGTGTGTTGTTTAGTTTACTTCTGTTTTGTGCCTTTTTTGATTTGGTCACTCGATTCTGTTTGTGGGTTTATGTGGTTTAATTTGGGGAACTTGTGTTTTAGTTTAGTGTGTCCCTAAGTTTTACCACTCGTTTTTGTGTAAGCCTGCGTGACCCCTTTTCTGGCACAAAACTCTGTTTATTCTGTTGTTCTGTTTCTTAGTTTAGGTTGTTTTCTGTATATTTTTAGTGTTTTGTTAATTTACCTTTACATTCCTGTTAATTAAACATTACTTAATTTATTCCATTTTACATCTTGGTTTTATTTTTGTTACTTCCCTCACCCCAAACGAGCTGGGTCGTAACAACCAGTTAGCCCCATTAGCGCCACACGACATATGTCATGACCAAATAGCAGCGATTGGTTAAATGAAAAAAAAAAGTACCTATCTACCATCAAGCGAACGAATTCTAACACTGCAAGGTCAGATGGTTTCTATGAAGTGAAAAGCGCCTGAATATTGCTGTGCCTGGAATGTTCCACAGTATGGCATTTATCATATATCTTGCATTTATTGAAAAAAACAGTTAAAGAAATGCCTAAATTTGCACTCTTACTGTGTGCAGGGTCCCTTCGTCACAAATATCAGAAAAGTTACATACTGCACCTTTAAGTAGTAGCTAAGGTAAACATATTTGTAATAAATATATGTATATTATTGCTAGTTTATATATACAGTGAGGCATCTGACGCAAAGTTAATGCCAAATTAATATGTGAACCACAGCACACAAGGTAGATGCGCTATACTCACCAAAAGTTTAAAAGAGAAAAAAAAACACATTACAGAAATAAAGAAAAAAACAGCATAAGAATGATTTGACAAATGAAATTCATTGTGATTACTGTAGTTGTGGTAAAGAGGCATGTAGTGGGCCCATTTCCTTCACCATTATTTGTGTATTTCCTAATAGATCTCACTCTCCTTTTAACTATGTGGAAAGCCTTCATTGGTGTGATCAAGCACAAGTGCTCTATTCAGACTATTTCAGCCATAGCTTTCATAGTGTAAAAATATCCCAACAAGCAGGTCCTATGTTTAGTCTAATCTTTATTAGAAATCTTAACCTTGAGTTTTATTCTGTTGACCATGTGATTATTCTTTTACTTTAGTCCACAGAGCTGCTACCATAGACTGCTCTATTCTCTCCATTAAGATGACATTGTTGAATCCTTATGAGCTTCACTGCAATCACCAATGCACTCATTTTATCCTGTAGCCTATCTTTTAAGAGTAAAATATGTCAGTAATCATTGTCAGTCAATCTGTTGCTGGAGGTGGGTCTGCTGATGGGACAGGGGAGCAGCTGGGAGCCTCATCTTTCTCGTAAAGTAACACCAGCGGCTCTAAGTGCAAATTACACAGATTCTAGGAACAGAATGATTGGAACTGATGGAAAAAAAAGTAAAAGTAAAAATAGTGACATTTGAGATGAAAGTTCTAGAGCAAATCTGGTGCTAGTAGAAAATTCACTCTCACTCAATCAAAAACTAAATTAAACAAAAGATTGCTAGAATTTGACACATGGTATGACAGAATATCATCAAGCAAAACCAATGAGTTATACCTAAATGTTATAACTAAACAACAATGACTATATAATCAGGCTTTTATCTTATATGATACATTAAGGAAATCTATAAAAACTCCAGTGTTATTGATGTGTGAATCACAAATAAGTCAATAATGGCACCAATTATTGGCCCCTGTCTTTCAATGCCAGAATCAAACAGGTGAGTCATGTTGTTAATACAGAGGGATGTTGCAGTGTTGCATTATGGGAGTCCAAAGCATGACAATGTAGAGTGCAAATGCAGAGAGTTTTTCAACTGCTCTGATACAGGACTCAAGAGAAATATTTCAGTAAATAATAATATTGAAACTTTATGTCACTGACACAAAAGCAAGATAGCAGGATTATAATCACAGAAAACCCATTTTTCACTAGACAGTATCATTAATAAGCCTGAGCTGCAATAGATAAATAAAAGAATGAACTAATAATTAGGAAAATAAGTTTTTTATTCTACCCTCTACAGCTCAATTCTTAAGATAGTACAGAAAAACGGCTAAAATCTCCACACTATCGCTAAGGAATTGTACATACGATAAATACTGAGCCCTAAAATATAATGTGTATAATGTGTATAATAGGCCTATCTAGAAACAAAGTTATCAGCACTTTCCTACAGCGCACATTGTGTCCTAAAATCACTAATGGGATTCACTTCTAATCACCTCATTATTCTCTTTCTCACTTTCTCACTAGTAAATTGCTCAAGCCAGCCTAACATAAAATAGATATTGTTCATTTGGGATCTTGGGTCAGCTAAATTATTACACAATTTAAAATGCAGATTTTCTCAAGGTATCTGTTCAAATGTATTGATTTTTGTCTATCTAAAACATCTGCAAACGCTCATGTGTGTCTAGACCTCTTAATACAGACAATCTGGCAGCAAGGCACCAATCCATTTTGAGCAAACATCTCAGAGATACAAACCCAATCACAGCAGATCACATCTCAGTTTGTGCTAATTCACTCCTGATTCAGAGCGTCCTGATGAAGCGTCACAAATCAAACGTATTTCAGACCAATGCATAAGTGTCAGGTCTGTGTTCACACCCACCTGCTGCTTCAGTTTAGGCTCAGAAAAAAGAAGCTCAGCATATAGTTTTGGAGGTAGGTAGTACAGCAATCAATCTTTAAAGATGGACTGTGTACGTTTTCTGTTGGGGGGCCTGTCACATGCTTGTCTCCATAGAGATATTACTGGTTTGCCTTGATTATTCCACAATATGGAAATAAACTTGGTAATCACAATGTAGACAGGTTAATGGTTGGATGTATGGAGAAGCAAGCCATGCACATGCAAAGAATTCATGTTTTTTAAGGTATTTTGAGCTATAAAACACCTATAATTGAACAAATGCAAAGGAAATATGTTTAATGCCCTACTGTGGAACATTCTAGTCAAAGAAATAGCATCTCCATGGTTACTGAAATTTGTATTGCCAAGACAGATAGGCAGCACATATTCAATTAGGACTGTTGCCATAGTAACTGACAATTTGAAACCAATACAAAATATATATTTTTAATAGTGAAACGTCCTCAAAATGTCACCTACAGGAAAGATCCATGACTCAGTGAT